AATTTGAACATGGGTGTTGGTGACCGTGAAGCATCCCCATGGAGATGTCTCGCAGATGATTTAACATGTGAGCTGGAAGTCCTGGAATAAGATCCGGGCAGAAATAAACACCTGGACTCATGATGGAATGGAGGGCAGCTGGGGCAGCAGGGAGAACAGAGGGAGTCACGGGCAGAAAGGGCTTGTAGATTAGACAGTTGGGCTCTGCAGAGCGGGAGAAAAAGATTCAAGAAGACGGTGATCAATATTGCCTGAGTACCAAGGGTCTCAGAGGCTGAGAACCAGAACCAGATTGTTGGAATTGATCAGAGCAGGTTCAGGAAGGGAAAAAAATCTCCAAATGCAAGGGGTTGGCAGGAAACTGGGGGCAAGGGTGAGAAAGGAGAGGCTAGGAGTACAGCCCACCCTCTCAAGAGATGCTTATCATTAAAATAGGTGACAGCATCAGCCTAGCACAGGCACTGATTTGAGCCAAGAGGTAGCACTTCCATTCCTTCCTCCCGAATCTGAGCCCCACCTCCCCTGAGATGACCCCAGTTCAGCTTATCCTCCAGGGCTCAGCCCAGGTGCTCCCTCCTCCGGGCAGCTCTGCAGATGTCTATGGCAGAAAGGTCTGCACCTTCCTTGAGATGGGTACAGCCTTTGCCTGTCCACATGGCCTGTGGCTGTTTCATCTCTGGGTGGGTGTTCCTTGTGACTTGTTTCCCCTGCCAGCCTGGGGGCTCCAGGGGAACACGGACAACTCGGGGTTCTGCTCCGTACCTGGAGGAGTTCCTGGAGTACCTGGAAGGCATGAATGAATGAGTGAGTGAATGAATGATTTTGCCTGTGAGCAGAGGAGCCCGGCTTTGAGGAGGGAGAAGGGCACCCTCCTCCTTCCCTGGTCACAAGCTGATCTGCTCCCTGGCCAGAAGCTCCAGAAACTCCCCTTGGTTCCGGAGCCTTAGAATGTCAGAGCTGTTTGACTTGAAACCTTGGCTTAAATGTTTACAGAACTGAGTAGCTTGATTCAAGGAAATGCTGAGGACAGGAACAGAAGTTATTAATAAATCATAACAACGGTTATTTCCCTTTCAAGATGCTCTCTAGGCCTTATAAGTAATATCTGTGTGATTGATCAGCCGGCGGAAAAGCCAGGCTGGCTTGGCAGCTTGAGTACCATCCGCAGGAATTGCCTCCCTGGTGAACTGAGGGGCCTGGGAGCTGGCCTTTCCTCGCCTCCCCAGGAGCCCAGCTTCTGCCCAGGCTCATGTTAGAAATCTCAAGTTACTAAAAAGATAGAAGCCTAGACTGAATTTTACCATCCATTCTTTTTTTTTAATTTTTTGAAGTATAGTCCATTTATAATGTTGTGTCAATTTCTGGTGTACAGCATCATGTTTCAGTCATACATATACATACATGTATTCCTTTTCACATCCTTTTTCATCATAGGTCACTACAAGATACTGAATATAGTTCCCTGTGCTCTACAGTAGGACCTTGCTGTTTATCTATTTTATATACAGTAGTTAGCATCTCAAACTCCCAATTTATCCCTTCCCACCCCCTGGTAACCATAAGTTTATTTTCTATATCTGTGAGTCTGTTCCTGTTTTGTAAATAAGTTCACTTGTATCTTTTTTTAGATTCCACATATGAATGATATCATAAGGTATTTTTCTTTCTCTTTCTGGCTTACTTCACTTAGAATGACAATCTCCAGGTTACCATCCATTCTTAATTAATGGAATTTTAGAGATGAGGAAACTGAGACCCAGAAAACTCAGTAACTAAGGGGACGCACCTGTGCCCTCTACCCCCTGGTCCTCTGTCAGACTCCACCAGAATACTGGGGTCATGGTAACCCTTGTCTGCAAGTCCCCAGGGCCGGGAAAGGGATCAGTGTCTGTTGAATCCAGCCCTGCTCCAGCTCCTTGGCAGCCTGAGATGAAAGGAGGGATGAGGGGTGTGCAGGTACAGCCCTAGGAGCAGAAAGGCCCCTCCTGATGCAGCGAGTCCCATGGGACATGGCCCCCACCTCCCTGCAAGCCACTCAGCCGAGCCTCACCCAGGCAGGGCTCCCTTCAGAGAAGGCTGCAGAGCTCTGGGGATTAAGCAGTGCAGATGCCAGGCACAGTACCACGGGCACCTGGAAATGAAAGAAGGGCCTTTCAGGGGCTGCGGGAAGAGTTCCGGAGTCAGACTGAGGATCACAGGGGAGGGGAGGAGGATTCAAGTAACTCATGGACCTGCAGGGACTCCAGCTGCTGCCCATCCTAGCCAGCCCTTCCCACCAGGGGCAATCAGTTAGATGGGCAAAGGGAGCAAGCGGATGCTTCATACAATTAGCAGAAGCCCACGTAGAGACATTCCACCTGATTAGGAATCCAAAAATAGAGTGAGCTAGGACGATACCTAAGTATCTTTAATTCATCCTAAATTATGGAGTGGCTGTATTCGGATTATGACATTTCATGCTGAGGGCTATGGACAAAGTGGCACACTAGTGTAATTGTGTGCTGTAATATAGCCACACACCATTTTCAGAAGGAAGTGTGTAATGGCACCTAAGGAGCTGAAAGTCATAGAAAAGTTCATGCCTTCTGCCCCCTGAGCTTACCCTCAGAACCCATGTTCAGGAAACAGTTCTGCATGGAGACATCCATTGTACCATTTTCATGATCAGCATCACCATTTTCATGGTAACCAGTTACTGGGTACCTCATTCGTGCCCAGCTCTCTGCCAGGCTGCAGAGAGTCTCCACCTCTTCCCCCCCGCCCCAGCTCACCCTGCAGAGTCAGGAATTGTCATCCCACATGGGCCCAGCTTGCTGATGGGCAGACTGAGGCACCAAGAGTTCCCAGAACTGGCAGTGATCCCAACCCAAGCCTGCAGTTCTTCAACTGGACCCCGTTGTCTCTTTAATTAAATAACTAACACTGGAAAGAATCCAAGTGTCCAACAGAGAGGGAGTCTTCAGTTAATTTACAGAGATAGAAAACAGCCAAAGAAATAAAGGCAGGAAGTGCACTTTCCTCTGGTTCACATCAACATGTGTGGGGACCAGGACCCGCAGAAAGGTGGGTAAATGCAAAAAACAAGTGAAGCCCAGCCACAGATTCAGGGCACAGGGAGCTTCAAGGGTGGCGCTTTCTTGGATGGAGAGCTGCACCATGCCGTCCAAACATATCTAACATTTGTAGATACTAACTACTGTACATAAAACAGATAAACAAGGTCCTACTGTATAGCACAGGGCACTATATTCAAAACCTTGTAATAACCTATAATGAAAAAGAGTATGAAAAGGAATATATATATATATACACACACATACATGTAACTGAGCCACTATGCTGTACACCAGAAATAAACACATTGGAAATCGACTATTCTTCCATTTAAAAAAAAAGATTAAGAGACACAAACTACTTAGTATAAAATAAATAAGCAACAAGGATATATTGTATAGCACATGGGACATAGAGCCATTATTTTGTAATAACTTTAAATGGAGTATAATCTATAAGGATATTGAATCACTGTGTTATATACTGGAAACTAATATAACATTGTAAATCAACTATACTTCAGTTAAAAAAAAAAGGAAAAATCCTAAGTAGCCTGTGATGTTTGACAGCCATGTCTGATATCCATTACCTACCTTCCTGGCATGATAATGGGAGCCACATTACCAGCCATGGACCACGTACCTTACTCAAGGAGGAAATGACTATTTAGACAAGATCAGAAGGAAGGTTCTGTGGAGGTGGGTCTTGAAGGATGAATAGGAGCTCACCATGCAGCCAAAGCCAGGCGTTGAGTAGGAAAGGGATGGAAGAAAGGTCCACATTAGTGGGACAGCATGAGCAGAGGGTCGGCCAGGCTTAGGGAACTACAAACTCTAGTGCAATGAGAGGAGTTTAGACATATACAAATACATACACACACACACACACACACACACACACACACACACACAGAATCACAGATACAATGCCACAACTGTGGGTTGTGGGCACCATGCATTCCAATCAGAAATTAGGACCAATGGTCTAAGAATTGCAAGTGTGATTACCTTTGGACTCAGAGTTGTTCCTCCGAAGTCCATGACAGCCCCTCCCAGTGACCACTGCAACAATTCCCTTGATACCGGCCAGAGAGAGGAGAGGAGCTTCCCCTAGGACAGAGGGGAGAGAGCAAAAGGAAGGGGCAGGGGAGCGACAGGACAGTACCACCCGGGCAGAGTGCTGGTCAGCGGCATCTGCAGGGCAGAAGCGCTCACGGGCTCTTAGAGGCTCTGAGGGAGGAGAGCTGGTCCCTTTCCCCTGCCAGGGAGCCATCAGCATGTCACAGCATGCAATGCAGCAGAGGCCCTGCTGTCCAGATCCACCTGCCAGGATGATCCCAGGGAAGCAGCTCAAGGGGTGCTGGGGGTGGGGGTGGGGAGTTCTGGGCAATGGTGCTCAGACCTGACGCCTCCAGAGGAGGGGATGCTGTGCAGAAACTAGGGAGAGGGTCTGATGGGGCCAGCTCCTTGGGGCTTAAATAACAGAAACCCTGCTAGAATGGAGCAGGACCCAGATTTTTATGTTTCTTAACTGCTTTATCTTCAGCACCTGGAATAGTGACTGACACATAGTAGATACTCAATAAGTAGTTGCTGAATAAATGAATGAGTCATTGAACAAATGGAAGGATGGATGGAAGGATGGATGGATGGATAGATAAATGGATGCATGGATGGATGAACACACCTGGGGAAATGGAGAATCTCGGATCCCAAAGACGTAGCAGAAACTAACCAGGCAGGTAGACTCTTCACTACCCCAGGTGAATGAGGTGCTCCAGCCCACGCCCCTTTGAACCCGAGGGGAAAGAAGGCCAAGCCTGACATGCCCTGCTGGCCGAAGCTCCCAGGCGCTGGTCTCAGGACAGCTGGGATGCCAGGGTGGGGCAAGCACTGCCAACGGGCCTGCCATCCCTCATGCTCCCCGTGTGTGTGTTTGGCTTCCAGCTCGCTCCAAAAGCCTGGTGATGGGGGACCAGAGCCGGAGCCCCGGGCGGCCACCCTGCCCCCGCAGGCTGGGCCCCGTGCTGAAGGCGGGCTGGCTGAAGAAGCAGAGGAGCATCATGAAGAACTGGCAGCAGCGCTGGTTCGTGCTGCGCGGGGATCAGCTTTTCTACTACAAGGACAAAGATGAGACCAAGCCCCAGGTGAGAAGCGCATGTCCCGTGTCCGGTGGGCGTCACGGCAGGGCTCCAAGGAAGGCATGGTTAACTATGTCCAGGAGAGGGGAGCAGGCTGAGAGAGATCCTCCCATCAGGACCTCCACCACTCAAAGCCCTGACTCCACTTGGCGCGACAGTTCAGTGGGATTTCCACCACATTCCTGCTCTCACAGCGTGTTTTACTGAAAAACACCCACAGCTTCAGTAATGAAAATGTTTCCTTGTAACATTGAGAGAGAGCATCTCTACATCACTTAAAAAGACAACTCTTCCCCTGGTCCTTTTCAGCCTCTTAGTGCTTCCAAGGAAGACGCAGCTACACACATCCCATTCCTTCCATTGTCTAGGGAAATTGGCACCCAGACACCTCTAACCTCAAACTGGAGTCCGGCTTGCTGTGAACCTCCTGTGTCAGAGGCCTCTGCCTCTCAGGGGCTGCTTCTGTTTCCCACCAGCACTGTAAGCTCCACTTCCGATGCCTAACGCATCTGCTTTTCCACCCAGATTGCACTAAGTTCACTCACTCAAAGCAACTGGTGGCCTCACCCAGCATGGTGTGGCCTGATGATGGTTGCCCCGTGCAGACATCATAACAAAGTGCCCTGCAGCCTGCTGTCCAGGGCAGCTGGGCTCGTAGAGTGTGGGCAGTCTAATCCTTGTTATGGGATTCAGACCGAGAAAGGACATCTGAGAGCCACCCTCATTTCTCTTGGGAAAATTAGGGAAGAGAACTTGAAGGACTTGTCCCAAAGGATGCTCCTAGTCATTGATCTGAGTCTGAAAGAAAAGGGAGATTCCCCTTGTTTGAGGTCAGGGGTCACAGAGCCTTAGTGAGCGGGGACCTGTGCACACCCAACAGTTCCCACAGTGTTCCCAGGGGTATGGGGGGCAGGGAGGGCGCTCAGTGATGGGCAAGGTGGGAGAGGGTATCCGGGCACAGCCCAGGATCACGTTGACATCACAGCGAGAAAATGACCCTGTCACTCCTCTTCCAATTCTTCTCAGTCTGAAGGAAGAATTGTCAGATCTTTAACACTTGAGGTCTTCCCTTTAAAGAATGGGTTCCTGGGGGTGAGAAGGAGCAGGACTCATCTCAGAGACCTCAGTCGCAGCAGTAACCAGCTGCAAGTGAATGGCTTTCTGTCTTCACTGTATTTATTCTAGCGGTTGACTTCTGTTTATGGAAAGTCATACTGGTTTCCGTTCGTGATAGTCATTGCATGTTTTCCTTTCTAAAATATATCTAAGTTAAAGCCAAGGAGTGTTGCAGAGCAATGTAAGTGTACTTAATGCCACTGAACTATATGCTTAAAAATGGTTGAATGGTAAATTATATGTTATGTGTATTTTAACTACACACTACACACACACACACCCCAAGTGAGACTGCTTAAGGAAAACTTAGACACCAGTAACAGTCGAGATGGAAGGTGGAGATGACCAAAGTCAAGAAGGTGGATCTAAGTCAAAGTTTAGGAAGCTCTGATCTTGTCCAGCTTCCCTGGCTTTATAAGGAAGGAAAATAACTCCTAGAGGGGTTGAGTGGAACAAACAGGAACTCTGAGTTTGATCTGAATTAGGTCAAGTGTGCTAGCTGTATAGCTTGGAACAAGTCACTTTAATTTTTTTTTTTTTACTTTCGGTTTTATCATTGCTAAAGTGGAGACATTATTACCTACCTCACAGAAATGCACTAAGGATTAGATTGTAGAACATATATGCAACAGAGGACAAGTCCTAGCACCTGGGACACTTAAGTCTGGGTCCTCTCTTGCTCCCTCAGCCCTGTCTTTCTCTTACTCCCTGCCTCCTCCAGCCCCACCCCTGAACCTACTCCCCAGATCGGGAATCACAGTTCTGGCTTGCCCCCTGCCAGCCTTTTTCCTTCTGGCCTCTGTGTTTTGTGTTGAAGACCAGCCTTGGCCCTTCAACAGCATCTTGGCTTTCCTGGCTGTCCTGTTGGTGACATGTCACTGATGATGGTGACCAGAGTTGCCAGGTCTCCTCATCTCTCAGAATCCTGCCTGTGGGCCCTACTGTCATCCCCCTCCTGGCCCAGACCATAGCACCATCCCCTGGGGGAAACTGCATCGTGATGCTGGGTGAGCTCAGTGGACTACAGTAACACATGGAGGTCATCCAAGCTACATGTGAACCCTTGCCATGGGCTTCCCCACATATTCCTATGGAGATCCTGAGGTGATCTCACCCATCACTCCAGCTTTACAAGAAAATTCCAGCTCCCTGGTTTCCAGACAGGTGAACTGGACAGTCTTCTTACTCACATGCCACCTTTTCCAGACTTCAGTGGCTTCTGGTGGAAACAGCTAATAGAATGGAGGCATTGACATCTTGAGTCACCAGCCTGGACACAGGAGGAGCCCTGGGGCCCAATCCAAACTAAACCAGGGCTTTCATAACTAGGGAGTCATGGGATCCCTGAAAGGAGCCAGCATCTCCCAATGATGCCAGCATCTCCCAATGATGCCAGCGTCATGCCCAGGACTCCACTTTTGACCTCTCTGGGCCTCACCGACCCTGCCAGATCCTCATGGAGTATTGTTCTTTTCCATAATTCCCCCTCCCCTATAAAGCCTGACTGCTCTAGCAGCCTCGATGCTCAGGTTCCCAATCTCAAGGAGACTACTGGTCAAATTTGACTCTTTTAGCTTTACAATATCATCTCAAACCTGCATGCCTGCCGGCAAAATAGCCCCGAGATTTCCATTTAATTGCATGAACTCCATGTAATGGACTAATTCTCAATGTCTGGTTCCTGGAAAAATGTGCCCTGTTCACTGTTTACAGTGACAGAGGTGCCCAGGCAGTGAGCTCCCTCCTAACAGATGGCCTGTCATCTGTCTAGCAGATGTAATTGTTGAGAGGAGGGATGTCCAGCTATCCTTGATGCTGCCCAGAGCACATCCACGTGATGAGGATCACTCTCAGCCTACGTTCTTATTGCCTCTCCAAAGCCCTTTCCCTCTCCCTTCTCCCCTTCTCACTGGCAGGAGGGTCAGCAGAGGACATAGAGCACAGAGGTAGGAAATTCAAGACAGTGGAAGAATTGGCTCAGATGGAAAGACTAGGTTAGGCAAAGTTCCTTTAAAACAGGACCTGAAAGTGTGGCCCTGTCCCTCCAGCTTTTCGCAACACATACCCCTAATAATTTCTAGCAGACAGATCCTATAATTTTACTAATAGAAGATTCCAGGGTTTTCCTCTTAAGTGGTTTTAGTTTCTGCTTGAAGTGTTCTGAGCCGTGAAAACTCCTGCCATGTCCTTTGTTGATCAGCCTGGTCCATTTCCACTGTTTGAGGATTCACTGTAATTCTAGTTTTCCCAGTTCTTTACTTGTGGGTTGCTTGGCTTTGAAAAGAAATGGAATAGAATAGAAATTGAAATTATAATTTCCAAAACATTAGACAAAAAAAAAATGTAACAAGTTAAATGTGATCAGTTCAACAAATGGGCAGAAAATGGAGGGAAGGAAGAAAAAATAATGGAAAGGTAAATAGAAAACAAAAAAGTAAATAAGATGGCAAGGGATAGGAATAAACATTTCAGTTGTCATAATAATTGTGAATAGGTCAAATTTGTTGGTCTCTTAAAAGGGAAAATGGAAGAGTGGCTTTAAAAAACAGAGAACAATCAACAAAAATTTCAAAAACAAAACACTGGGAAAAAGGTAAGCCAGCAAATGCAAGCAAAAAGAAAGCAGATTTAGGAACATCAAAATCAAGAAAATAAAATTCAAGGTGATAAGAACAGAAGGGAATAAAGAGAAATATTTCATCATTATATAAATAACAACCTACTGAGAAAATAGAGCAACTGTGAACTTTTATGCTCTTAATGACATAGCTTTGAAAGAACATAAACAAAAAGAATTCTCATTGTTCTCTATTGATGTAGCAGACCTGAGCGAGCTAAATTCTGAGCCAGCACTAGGGAGAGCACAAAAATCCATCTAGTTTGCAAACCCCCTCTCCCCCTGCCCCAACCCCTTCCTCCCCAACCCCAGCAAAGACCTGGAATTGGCAGGACCAGTTATCTCCAGAAACAAGAGCAAAGAAGAGCTCAAAACAGGAGGACTGATTGAAAGTCAGTTTAAAAAGCAATTAGATCCCAGATCTCCCAAACCACCTGATGCAAACCCATGACTGCCCTGCCCCAACTTGGATGTTAACACCGGAGTTCATTCTGGAAAGGATACAAAAGAAGCACTTCCATCTGAGGACATTGGCCCTGTTATATGGGGGGCGGAGTCGGGGGGGGGTGGTTACTGATACAGGAAAATGTGGGGCAAGAGAATAACCATGTCCCAGGTCTCAGATGAGTCCCTGGGATGCGCCCTGACAAATGTGGGTCCTTGGCTTTGAGCAGGAAAGAATTCAAGAGTGAGCCACAGTTGAGTAAAAGTAGCTTTATTCAGAGAGATACATACTCCATAGCCAGAGTGGGGCCGTCTCACTCAGAAGGGAGAGTGGCCACAATGTGTGGGGATTGTTTGTTTTTATGGGCCCAGTTTTTTCATATGCTAACAAGTGGGAGGATCATTCCAACTACTTTGGGAAAGGGGCTGAGATTCCCAGGAATTGGCCCACCTCCTGCATTTTGACCATTTATGGTTAGACTCGGAATTGTCATGGCGCCTGTGGGCGTGTCATTTATCATGCTAATATATTACAATGAGTGTCTAATGAAGCTCAAGATCTGCTGAAAGTCAAATCTCCCGCCATCTTGGGCCTCGAGGTCTACTGGGAGTTGGATCTCCACCATCTTGGTGCTGCTTGCTGGGTCATTCCTTGAATGGCTGTTCCCTGCCCCCTGCGCTCCTGTCTCAGTACCACACTGGAGCAGGAGGGTAAGATGGAGATTGACATCCAGACCTGTTACTTCAGTAGCCCTACCAGTCTTCATCCCACACTTGGCTCCCAGACCCCAGCAGTCAGGAATAACCCTCAGGAAGGAAATGAGGAATT